AAATAAATATTTTTAATAGATTTTAAAATTTTTGGGTGAGCAAATTACTTATAAATAAGATTGCTTTTAAGCTTTGAAAAACATGCTCAACTTGATAATTCCTTTTATCTATGAGATAGGATAAATTCACTTATGTGGAAGACTTCTAATTCTTATATAGTTTACCAAAATGCTTTAATTAAAATATCATATTGTATTATAAATTTATAATATAATGTGTGCTCTTTTTATTTGGACATCCATTTATGATATTATTTGCATTTATTCATTTAATGTTATATCATAATTGTAAGTTTACAGTTACACGTGATATTGTAATAATAGCATTGTTGTATAATTTATTGGCCATTGATTTTTCAAATTTATCAATTGAGATAAATTTTTATATTTGATAAGTTGATGGTATATTACTAAATATATCATTATCAATTTAACTATTGGATTTGTGAATTCAACTAATTATACATATAGATAAATCTAAGTTACTTAATTTTATTAGTTTTTTTTTTTGCCAATAATTTAATTAATTTAGTGATAATTTTATTTTTAATGGAAGAGGTTTTAATTTTAAGTTGTACGACATACAAATTGATTGGGTTAAAGAATAAGAAATAGTTACCTCTTGTTATATTTAAGATATGTGAAGAGAAAAAAAAAAGATGGAAATATCTGCCATATATTGAATAAATTCTTGCATTTTTGAAATTACCCCAACATGAAAGGGTTATGTTCAAAACTCTAAGATTCAATCATGATAAAAGTTACCTCTTGTTATATAACTTAATATCAAAAAGAAAAAAAAGTATTAGTTTATTTATTTATTAAGATAGATATATTCTTTTCTTCTTCTTTTTCTGTTTTTGTTTGTTAAGGGAAATATAATTAAAAATATAAATTATATGTAAATTTTTAATGTATAAAAAATTAAAAAAAAAATTATTATTCTCAAAAAAAAAGAAGTACTTTGTTTAAATGATCATTTTCTAGCCTTATCTTTTAAAAAATAATAATAATATAAAAACTGATCAATTTAACAAAATTTTTTAACATGATTAACGTAGATCCTCAAGGCCCCAGTTGATTTGACATTTGGAGCATGATTTTGAAGTAAAAGTAGGAATTTGATTTGTGAGATGGCCCCATATATTTACATATTAATTAGGAATGTGACTTGTGGCTGATGCATATGTTTCCATTGAAACCTGTGAGAGAGAGAAAACAGAGTTAGTACTAACAATTATGAGAGAATATAATGTGAATACAAACATTTAAGGGACAGAGTGGGATCTATAAATGGTTGGCATTGTGTCCCACTTTCCCTCCCCTGTTTTGTACCAAAGACCTGACTAACCAAGAACTTGCTCTGCTATCAAGTTGTGATAGCATGCATGTGGCCTACCTTTAGGGAAAAAAAATAAAAACTTCTTCATCTCTTCTAGGATTTTTTTTTTTTTTTTGATATTTATATAAAAAAAAATAGAGTTGTACCTTTTCTTTTCTTTTTATTATTATTTTTTGAGCTATGAACGGAAATATGCATGTTACCAAATAAGCCGTTGATTCTTTTTTTTTTAATCGACAAATGGCAATATATTTATTAAACAACAAAAGAGAAGTAGAGGAGTTTAAGATTATGGAAAGTTTCAAATTTAACCCTGGCTAAATAATCTCTCAATCAAATACTAGAGATAATAAGAGATATTCCCCATAGCTCCTCTAATTGTAACTTGA